ACCAAGCATTCCAATCAAGACTATTACAAGAATTCGATCTAATTCTAACCCAATTATACGAAAAAAGCACGATCTCCTTGGAAATCACCACCAGGCTTTTTAGAGGTTCGTTGAAAACCAGCGCATTGCGATTCGTCCATGACACCCAAATGAACGCCATGAGAATTACTTCCAACGCCTCCTTCACCCTCTTTCCTTTGAAAGGAAATTACGCCGCAGAAAAAAAATCCGCCAAGTTGGTAGCATGATAAGGAAAACCCGCCCACCAATTCTTTACATAAGCACCGATCTCCTTTGTAGACGAACAACCAAACAAGAGATGACTTTCCGTTTTCGGCTGACTTAGGCAACAAGGACATAGAATTGAGCTCACCCGGACACCTCTTAAGGAAAGATTACATCTAGTGGGGAGTCTTGATTTCGAAAGACGCCAGATAAGCATATTCACTTTACCGGCACTAATTTATTCCACATCGTTATCCTTCCGTTGGATTGTAAAACACCTTCCTCAATCTTACCCCGGCACGTCTTGACCGAGAATACACCGTCCTCGGAAAGGTTCCATCTCCGATCGCCATTCATATCTACCGACCAGAAGCTGTTAACATGAAGTCCWACTTTACGGATGAGAGTATCCCATTTAGCAATAGCTCCCCAAACACCCGGCTTCTTACAACCGTCGCTGAAAATACCCCCACTATCACYATGAAACGCCTTAATAYTATCTCTCCATAGACTACCCTCTTCATTAAGAAACCTTGACCACCACTTAGCAAGGAGACTCCAATTAAGCGCCWTCAAACTACCAATGTCAATACCACYTTTATCCATTTTGTTATAWGTAACCTTCCACTTAATCTAGATAATTTTCTTGCTCTGTCCAGTCCGGCCCCAWATGAATTGGTTCCTAAGAATTTCAAGAGTGTTAAGCACATTTTTCGGAACTTTAAACAAATAAAAAATATAAACTGCCAAGCTACCAAGAAYCGATTTACACAKAATCTTCCWGCCACCAAACGATAAAGACTTGGCCTTCCAAGCKGAAAGTTTCTCTTGGAATTTAGCTACTAACTTATTCCAACTACATCTTCTTCCCATCTGCGCACCACCGGAAGGCCCAAGTATTGGAACGGAATAAAAGAAAGTTTACAATTCATTCTTCGAGCGAGCAGCTCAGACTCACCGGTACCCGTCCTAATGTCGTACAAACAACTTTTCTGCAGGTTGAATTTCAACCACGACGAAAGATAAAAACATCTGAGTAACCGAATCAAATTTAGACCGTTAGTTAACGACCAGTCACTCATAAAGAGAGCATCGTCAGCATATTGAAGAATCTCTATTCTGGGGCCACCTCTGGGAAGAGACAGCCCGTTAAATACCCCTTTAATGCAAGCTTCGTACATAACCACCCTAAAGGCCTCCATTGCGATAATGAAAAGAAAAGRGGCAAGAGGGTCAACTTGTCGCACGCCTTTTTCCATGATAAACTCCTCAGTTGGGCTTCCATTAACAAGAATAGAAAACTTGCATTAGAGAGAATTCCACGAATCCACTTTCTCCAGGTATTACCGAATCCCATTTGACTCATAACCTCATCCAAAAAATCCCAATTCAAGTTATCAAAAGCCTTATCAAAATCAGTTTTAAAAATTAATAATTTACGCTTTGCCTTCCTAGCCCAAGAGATAGTTTCATTAACAATAAGCGGGCCGTCCATAATGCATCGGCCCTTAATAAAAGCCGACTGCTCCTTCCCAATGATCGCATCCAACACCCCTTTTAATATATCCGACAGCACCTTAGAGATGATTTTACAAACACAACCAATTAAATTAATYGGCMTGTAGTCTTTGAAAGACAATGGGTCCTTTACCTTTGGAACTAGAGTAATGAATGAAGCGTTGCATCCCCTTCCAATTTCTKCATTGGCCTCGAAGGATTTTACCGCCTTGAAAACATCATCACCAATGATATTCCAAAACTTTTTAAAGAAAGCAAAAGAGTAACCATCAGGTCCTGGCGCTTTCTCATTACCGCATCCCCAAACTGTGTTTTTAACTTCCTCTAGAGTGAAGGGCAGCTCGAGCGCCTCCTTTTGACTTAACGAGAGTCTTTTGAAATGGTTGCTATTGAAAAATTGGCCTACACACCTTCTCTTCTGAAAATTTCTCTTTGAAGAACTCAAAAGCTGCTTTTTCAACTCTTTAGGATCTCGAATCCAGCTACCATTTACGCCGRTACCGTGGATATTTAACTTGCTAAATCTGCCTCTAAGTAGACCATGGAAGAATCTCCTTCAAGAGTCCACCTAGCTTTGGCCTTTTGTCTAAGATCACTAATGTCAGCTTCATCAATCTCCAGAATACGCTTCAYAGCATCCAYTCTGATCTGCGCATCAACAACACTCAGATTACCAGCAGCCGCAATCAAATCTAAATYGTTAACCTTAGMAGTAAGAGAAGCCTTCTTGGCTTTGGTTGAAGCCAATTTCGACTTCCTCCAATCTTTAATCTTCGCCTTCAGTCGCTTTTAATTGGAAAAGAAAAGCCTAATATTGCTTGAATTCGAGTATCCGTTATGATTTTTTATCCAGCCCTCCTTCACCATCTGCACAAAGTCTGAATCACTTAACCAAGAATTAAAAAGTTTAAACGGGATCGGCCCAAAATCTTCGTCGCAGCCATCCAGAAGAATAGGRCAGTTATCYGAGTATAAGAACGGCATCGCGRTCACACATGCCTTAGACCAAAAGGAGAGGAAACTCTGGGACACCAAGAAAYGATCAAGTTTACTCCATTTAAAACCATCCGCACTTTTCCTCGTGAACTTCCGACCACCCATTTTGAGGTCCAAAAAGCCGTTCTCATAAATAAAGTTTAATAAGTCCAAGGCACTCCCAACATCAAACTCRGACCCTACCCTTTCATCCTGACATCTAACAACGTTAAAATCACCGCAGCAAATCCAAGCATCGACATCGATAGACTCCAATAGCTCCGTAAGGGCAGACCACAACCGAGCTTTTTYGCTAGAGTCTTGAGGAGCGTAAATGCTGCAGATGCCTAACTTAACCCCGCTAGGACACAAAGAACCAGTAACGATCAGATAATTCCTATCCATAAACGAATTTAAWTTGATGAAGAGAGTAGAGTCCCAAAGAGAGACAAGACCACCAGACTTGTCGTACGGATCGACCGAGGCCATATCGACATTCCTACCCCACCCCCCCAAACACACACACCGACAAGCATAAAAACTCTTTAGGAATTGATGAGATTCTTGACTCCTGGATACAAAGAAAGTTCACTTCGTTATCCTGCTTGAGCTCTTTCAACCATTTCCTTTTGACGCCTCCCCCAAGACCATTAACATTAAGAGATAAAAAATTTAACATGATCGGACATCTCCGTCGAATTGCAAAGAGTCTCTAACCAAATMTGCTTTCCCTTCTATCTCAAAGCCAACTAGACAACCAACCCGAATAGTTTCATCGACTTCAATATTGGGTACCTCRGAATCAATATCAACAATCGGAACCTCGTCAACCACCCTGGCTAGCCCGACCGCCTCTGTATTAGGTTTCTCGACCTCAAAGACCTTTTTATTTCTAGCTCTGTTCTTCCTACGACGTTACAAATGCAGATCCTTTTCCCTCGAGACAATCGTCCAAGCATGAAGGTCTTTTAAATCATAATCATAATCACCCAAGAGGGAATCRGATTCCCCTATACTTCCGACAGAGACGTCCCCATCATCCTCATCAATAAGAACATTACACTCCGRAGAAGCATTGAGATCAAATTTCTTAGAGTTGAGGTTCCTGGAAGGCGTTGTTACAATAGGGCCATCCTGAGAACAAATAACGTTACCCTTTTCAATACCCTCCAAATTAGAAACATCAATAACAGGTCCATYAGGGGAGCTAACAGCAGACAGCAGTCCCAGCGGCCCAAAATTGTTATCCAAAACTCCAACAAGCCCAATGCCCTCAAAGATGTCATCCGACCCGAGCAGGCATTAAAACCACCAACCTCATCATTTTGTTCCCCATGCAGACCATTCTTGAATTCCCTGCTTTGTTTTCCCCCGAGGAGACTTTCCGGCTACCAAGTCCCGACTGTTTCACTTCATCTTTCTTTGCCTGTCGGAATTGTGAGACAACGGCMTGCTCCGGTGACGGAGAAAGAATATCGTCAACAAAGAGATTTTTCGAACGACAAATCGAATCCGATTTCGAATCACCATTAGCATATTCAAAAAAAGAACCTATGGACATTCCCTCCGCAATATCTTCAGCCACACGAACGTATACCCGAACCTCATCAACAATGATCTCAAGAGAGTCCATTATCCATTTTTTTTCTCGCCAGTAAGAATACCGACTTTTCCAAATTCACGATTCCTGCATTCCGCCGAACAATTTTCCAGAATTATAACTTCTCCCCATCTGCCGGCGATTTCAGCAAACACACTAGGGGTCCAAGCTTGAATTGGCACGCCGTGAATAATGACAAAGGCGATCCTTTTCTTAACCACAAACTTATCATTCCAGAAATCTAATTTGCTAAACTAGTCACTCCAAATTTTACTATCATTGAGCAAGAAATTTTGAGCATCAGCTGCACTTTTTAAGCAAACATGAGCATACAAACCACCCAAGTATCTAACCAACAACTCCTGAGAGTTTGTAACTTCCCCAAATTTTTGGAAATTACMTAAAGCCTCAAAGCTTCGAAACTTCCCGATAAGAGTCGATTGCAACTTAACTTTCAACTCGTTCGAACAAGAAAGCTTGATAAGATGAATCTTGTGCCCCCGGGTTTTAACCGCATCTTTGCCAATAAAGTTCCTGACTACATCTGYGTACGAACTGTTATGCCTGTACGCCTGTTGTTCCTTCCTCACCATGCATGGCCTCTGCTTCCACCTTCTGAAATATGCCCTTATCCTGTGACCYGCCCTTCGCCTCCCTCGTGACCTTCCTAACATACTTRGCCACATTTGCACTTGGCTATAGCGATCCAAATTTAAGTTCGCATAAARCTTTCTCCMTTTGCCTGACATCTTTAATGCCCAGGAATCTGACAAAGCCAAATCTCATTCCCCTAGCATCYCTCTTCCTTGCGATAAAAACATCGACCACCCTTCCAAGCTCCTTCATCTTGGCSCAAAGAAACTTCTCCTCCAAATCTTCTAGAAAGTTCGTGATAAAGAAACTGATAGCATACCTACGAAGAGATTCTTCAACCTTGAAACCAAGACCTCTGTTAGCCGACTCGGTTCTCCGTAAATCCTTCTCCGGTGACCGCCCTCTCGCCTCCTCGAACGCTCTCTCTCCCTTGCCATTTTCGAAAATGAAATGCTATATTAAGAACTTGTACTATAAGTCTAAACAACCAACCCAACCACCCACCCTTACACAGTCACAATCACCATAACACTTTAAAATCATTAATACATAAATCTTAAATTTAAAGGATCAAGATTGCAATTGTGAAAAAATGGTGTAGTAAATAAAATAATGGTAGCAAGTATGTTAGAGGCTTAAAGCATCCTCAACAACAAAAGAAAATGAGAGTTTAAATATTTTATATCAACAATTTTTCTAAAMCTATCTTTAAAATGGAAAGTGAAAGAGAGATTTTTATGTAATAATATTTTAATATTATAATCAATGTTAAATTCTCTAAAACAGAAAATACGTTGGAGATAATTAATATGTATTCTTTTTTCTGAAGATTTTGATTTTAAAGAATCCGTTAGAAATGCTATTAATATTCATTAAATCAAATTTGGTGTAAAAGTAGTATTCCCATTAAAGATGTGTAACAAATAATGTTTAGTATAAGATTGGGTGGCACCATTAAAGATGTAGTCTTACAACCGCCACCAATCCCATGTTCATCAATTGGGTAAGCATTTTTGGCAGATCAATGTAKATGACCACAACTCACCAATTGTTAAATTACAACTCACTATGGTCATTAGATGTACACCACAAGGTATCCTTGCCAGAAATATTAAGAGGCTACAATACCATACTTATAGCTTAAATTTAAGTTGACCGTTGACAATGACAAAACACAAACTATAAATTGTTAAAACTGAATCTAATTTCTTAGTGTTTTCTAACTACAACTAATTTAGTAATTATTTTGCGACTTTGGCACCACCACCACCACCACCACCCACCCACCCAAAATAGATTAGGACCATGACCATTGATTGGCATGGCAAAGACCTTTTTATAACCATGGGGCACTAGAGTTAACCGTGAGGGCTAAAACTAGTGACCACCGAAGACCAAACCCAAGTTCTTATCGGTTGTTTCTAAGAACCGCCTCCAAGATGCCTCTCTAATCATGTGTGTGTACCTGCAAAGGTTAACCGTCTGATATCTAACTTACCAACCGACCAGCCAGCCACACCTAGTTAAACATAAAAAATGCATAACAAAAACTCAAATCAACATCATTTACTTGTGTAGCCCCACAACAAAAACCACTACCAACATCCTCTACCCCTATAAAACTTTCATTTTAACTAAGCCATGTCACCTGGGCTATTCACTGTTGGTTGTGTAGGTTGAGCAGCAGCAGGAAGAGGAGTAACGATGGATGACTGAGCAGCTGGCTTCACAGGACCAGCKATGGCCGTTTGCTTATGCGACTTTCGCCTTTCCTCCCCTTGTGTTGAAGTTGATTTCTCGTGTCGCAATTGACCATCATCTGACTCACCCTCTGCCTTCCTCTTCACCTTCTTCTTCACCAAAACTTCCGGTGCCATTGTCTCATTCTGAGTGTTCTTTAGCTTCTCTTGTTTTGGCTTGTCGGCGCTAGGAGTGTTGGGCGACCGTGCAGCAGCAGCAGCAGCAGCAGCTATTGTGTTGGATATTGACCTCACAGCTGCACTCGAATCGGTGACCATCTTATCAGGAGCATGTTGCACTGATCCACCATCAACCGCAAGGGTTTCAGTTTTTGGGGCAAGTAATTTCTTCCTCTTCAGGTTCTCCTGCTCCTTTAACATCAAATTAGAGGAAAATAAAATATATAAATACCCAAGCTATGTGCACTCTTCTAAACATCTAACAAAACCAAACTAAACAAACCCCATATATACCACCCAAAGGTGGATTTGGGGATAATATGTAGGCAGACCTGCCTCTACATAGATTGGTTGTTTTTATAAAGACCCCCAGCATGTGCGAAGTGTGTGACAGAGAGAAAGATAGCTCAAAAAGTTTGTATGTTGTTTTTCCAAAAGCTGTTGTATCTGTGTCAAATTCTTTCTATTACATAGTTATCAAAACACATGACATGGTGCTACAATTGTTTGGCCACACTTGATGGTGCATCAATGACAGGTTGGAAGYATGTGTGATTAAAGATGGCTTACAAATTGTATATACTATATGGCAGACAGCAATAGAAAACGAGGGTGGTCTCAGCCCCTTGTGAGATTGTATGCAAATTATAATGGAAAGAGAAAGGGAATAATCCATACCTTGCGCCTGTGTAGTGCTTTTCTCCTCTCTTTTGCCCTACAAATTGCTCGTTTGATCCCATGGTTGTCCATGAGGCCTTTTGGCCACAGTTCTGCAAGCTGCAACACCAACGGATAACGTTTAAAATTATGTTTCAGTTTGAGTAACGTTATAAAACATAGAGTAGCAGAGCTTGCCAGAAATCCATGCTAGTTTGCAAAKTTCCATAGCAAGTAGAGTATGAATTTCAATCAAAAAAATGCACAAGAAACTGGGAAATACAAGACAAGGGAAAAGCTCATTTAGGAACCGTGAGAACCAAATATTCATGAATCATTTGTCATGAATATTGATAGAGAACAGAAAAATGAAGAAGATGATAGAGAAGGTTTAGGGGGAAGGAAGCTGATGGAATTATGATCAAACAGAAAATACAGAACGGTATCCAGGGAGAACCCCTCTCTCAATGCAACATGCAAAGAGCCAATATAACAGAAAGCAGAAAATGACATGCCAAGATACGTATCCCCCCTTCCCCTTAAAAAGAGACATTTACATATTTACAGTTCTCAAATGAACTTGCCCCTAAAAGACAATTACATATTACCATATTCACAAAATGTACAGCGGAAGATTTTGATAAAGACAACAGAAAAAACAACAATTAAATAGCATTGGGAAGTCTTGGGACAAACTTACCTCTGCATAAAGCTTCCTAACTTGGGGACCTGCATCTTCGTCAAGCCCCTGACAACAAAATAAATTTGTAAAGTAAGATGTTTTGAAAAGAAAGGTTTGCAAAAAGAAGGGTTTGCGGAAAGAAAATTTTCGGTATACAGTCAGAGTACAGTACATCAACAAAAAGGTCATAAACGTCACAAATCTTGTCCTCTAAAGCATCATCTGTGGTAAATCTGCTTTTAACTTTTTCTTTGGTGCCAGTTTCCTGAAAATCATCGGATGACCCAGCCTGCTGCTCAATTGCCTATGGACAATCCAGTGAAACAATAAACCCTATAAGTGGCTGGCAGTAACGGATGCAAACATGACAAGAAACATCAACATATTTAAGATGCTATCTACCACAGGAGTTTCAATATGTAGAACTATTAACTCAACCATGTTACTTTCTACGATGTCTTTTTTTCCAAAAAAAGACACATCCGTGCCTCTGAAGTGCAATCTAGTGGGGGRAAAGTACCTCCGGCTTCATCAGAGGAGCCCGGATCTTAACCATCTCATCTACTTCTTTCTTTAACTGCTGCAACCTGGTATCTTTCTCTTCTTTGGCAGACAATCCCATAACAACCATGTTTTGAAGATTTCTCTGTTACGAGATATGAAACAGTCAGAAAGAACTGAAGCCAATCAAAAGACAAGGTCATTGAAAAAGATAACTGGAAGGTCAATGTAAATTGCTATTTTAATGAAAATCATCAAGGTACGTTCAAGGACAAGAATAGTCAAATATTTATACATTGAAGACCAAGATAAATGCACCAAATTCAATGGCACATTTTTACAGCTCAAATGGATTTTCCCTATTCCCAATATCACAAGCTAAAAAATCAGTTTGTGTCTAACATGGCAGAAAACCTGAAGGTTACAGATGTACTTGGGTAAGGGACTGCAGAAGATATTACTTGGAAAAGAGTACAACTATCTTTTTTGTGTGGGAGAGGTTGTAAGATAGGTTGGAGAAGGGTTAATGTATTGGTTCAATAGGAAGTGTTTCTGTTTGTTAGATAATTGTTCAGGGCGATGCACCATGGCTTAGGAACTTTGATTTATTTTGGTTTGAARTTGGAAGAGATGACATTAAGAATAAAGACAATATACTCTTCTCCCCCCACAAATTAAATGTGATCTTACTTTGTTTAGGAGGAAGAACACCTACCAGGAGATTGAACTTGGTACTTCAATTTGGTTGATGAAATTGTTCAAAATGATGGTCCAAATGAGTGTCTAGTTAGAAATGCTTTCCAAAAAGCATTTCAACTATTAAAGAATGTATTTGTCGTTACTTAGCAGATTCCCTGCTTAGATGGGTTTCTTCAKAAGCTAGACAGCACATAAAATGCACTGTCAAACTCGTGTGTTGTCATAGATGCACAATTAAATACATTTTACTTTGATTGCTGCTGTCTGCTAAACTTGCAGTTCTAAGAGCTAGACACTCAAGTGGCAGCTAGGAAATGCTCTGAATCTGCTGAATAATACCAACCCATGCAAAGATTACTAAAAGAAACAAGATATATGTGAAATAGACGTTATAGCATCTAGCTATATACAAATCACTTAAATTGGTCATAAGTAAAATGTTTGTGCTGTTCGGGTGTATAGTTATGTATATACTATTTGGAGTATAGGGGTGTTCCCAACCAAACCAGCCAATACTGATCCAATGGCTATTATTTCATCATCTTAGCTGACTTCCTACCACCAAAGTCTAGCCGCCAACATGAAATAGAGTCAAATACATTGCAATTTATGTGGTGGGAGACTCCCCCCCCCCCCCCAAAAAAAAAAAAAACCCTAAGATTTGCTATAATTTAGCCAAATACAGAAAACGAATATCAGGAAATATAAGCTCAGTACCTAACTTAAAGTAAAGAAATTCATAATGGTAACAGTAAAGGTAATACCTTCAATGATCTAAGCTGTATCAGATGACCTAGGATGTTCATCAAACGGTTAAGCAGCTCTTTCGTCAATTTCCCATGGATAGTATGCTACAAACACCACAAATGTAAGATTTTATCTTTGTACGTCAGTCTTATGTTACAAAAAAACAACTGCAAAAGACAATCAAAAGACCCATTCAACAAAAAATAGAAAGAAATGCTGTGTCTGTTACCGCCAGTCGAGCAACTTTAGCCAGCTTTTGCTTTATTTCAGGAGGCATTCTCCTTTTSACAGCCTGAGATGAATTGTCAGCTTCAGGAACCTCCATACTTGGTGGCCTTGCTGTTGTGATGTCAAGATATATATGAACAATTAATCAACAAAGAAGGCTTCTWGTTTAATCATCAAAACTGATCATTCTCGGACTTACTTTCTGCAACAATCTTCTCCAAATCCCTGATGGCTTTTTCAAGCATCAAACTTGTACTTTTAGGTTTAGCACTTAAACCTTCCTTTCTCACCATATGTGTATTCTTCTGCTTGAAAAATGAAAATAGCATCCTCAATAAAAGTAAAATAAAATATGGCAAAATATTCCTTCACAGCATGACAGTTGTGAGCTTAGTCATTCACTTTGAGCAAGTTTCCCCACTAAAAGAAGTAACAGACTAACAGGTAAATGATCTTTAATATACAAGAAGACAGTCAAATACAAAAAGAAAAAGYAGCACATCGGTACAAGACATGACAGCCATACATGAAAAATGGCATTGCTTTTACAGACATTATGTCTTAAAATGAATGTCATAAACATCATTCCATCTATTGTTCC